TGTAGAACCGCCACTGCTTTCAAACTTAGCTTGCTATTGCTAGCCTCTCCGAAATCGCTTACTCTACCTTTAAAATACATAAAACTAGTTAACGCTACTGCGCCAGTGTTTCTAATACAATGGCTAAGGGAGTGAAACAAAATTTGACATCTTTCTCTCTTTTGACCAATGTAATCAATCTTTCTATATTTTTTTCCCTCCTTTGGAAAGTCACAGAAATGCTATAATTGATTTTTTTTCTTTTGCCATTTGAGCAAATGGGAAAGCAAAATTGATTTTTGTTGTAGTTTCCATTCACCTCTATAGAAGTTTACCAAATATGGCTGCTTCCACTTCTGTAAACCCCAGAAATGTGGAAATGGTCAATACCACCAAATACGTCCTTGCACAATAAATAAGAAATCTTGGAACAAGGCCGTGACATAAAATAAAGGTTATCTATTTTTTCCCTTTAAAATACAATGCCCAACATTCAAAGCAAATAATTCACACATGGAGGAAAACTGAGCTGGTCAAGCAATTTGGTAACACATTACATTAAGCTTCTATACATTCTATCAGCATTGGCAATATGCAATAGCTAACATGAAATAACAACAAACGATACCTTTCCTTGTAATGTATTATGAATGAACATGAATTAACAACATTTATAAATTAACATTAGCCTAGATTTAAAAATGCAGTAATAATTGTTGTTGATTGTCACTATTGTAACATGTTACCAGCAACTTCACTGTCTTTAACACATTTTAAAAAATCTATCAGCTGTATAATTATGCATGAATAAATTTGTGCAACTTTTACTTATTTATTCACAAACATGGAAAAGCTGGAAACTGTAAAAGGCTACAATCGTATTTGCATTGTACAGTCAGCAGATTTCCAACAAGCACTACATTACAAACGCAAAATTGGACAAAGAAATGAAAGCAACTTTTTCCCTTCCCACATGATCATTATAGAAGTCTGAAAAGCTGTTCTTTGGTTTTCTCTTTCTTCTTCCTCTCTCGCTCTCATAAACACACTCCCAGTAGCGCAGCAGTGTTTAATGAGAGACCCTGTCCCTCTTCTATCTCCAGCTCTAGATTGTGGGTGGATGTCAGCAAAAGGCTGATGGACAGTGATGGCTACTAATGAATGAATGAATGATGCATTTATATAGCGCTTTATTGTGTATTGTTGTACACCCAAAGCACTTTACAATGATTTTCTTACAGCAGCTCCAGACTCAAGAGTTCAGCCATACTCTCTCCATAGAGACACAGTGCCATTCTGCTTAATTCCTCCATGGATTCATCTAAAGTGTAAGCTAATGAGAAATCTGTGATGCATTGCCTTATATGCACTATAAAAACCTATTCAAACATGAGTTCTTGATCTGGAGGCATTATCGGTGTCTGAGAGGAGGTTCAGAGCTGTTTTCAGGTCCAGGCTTACAAACAGACCTGATTTTAAATCACTTAGATGCTTGCTGAATTTAGCTCGGGGTCAGTCAAGCTAGAAATTCTACTATGCAAATATTAATCATAGTCAATGTGAATTTTTATGCATAATCCTTAAATCTAATGTGACTGGATTTCTTTGATGTTAATTTTCTTTCTTATTCTGTACTCAGTCATACTTAATTCTCTGATAGGTGCTGTCCATGTCAGGGGAGGTGACCTTTAAGCCATTTTAATCATTCAGGGTGTGATGGTATATCCAATAGTGAAACCGGAGGCTTTCTCAGAACTCTATATGATGGTCTACTTAATATACTACCGTTCAAAAGTTTGGGGTTGTAAGATTGTTTTGTTGTTTTTTTAAAGAAGTCTCTTATGCTCACCAACGCTTCATTTACTTGATCATAAATACAGTAAAACAGCAATAATGTAAAATATTATTAGAATTTAAATGAACAAGTTTTCTATTTGAATATAGTTTAAAATGTAATTTATTCCTGTGATGGCAAAGCTGATTTCGATGAATAGAAAGTTTAAAAGAACAATGTTTATTTGAAATGTATACATTTAATTTCTTTCAAAAAAATATTTTGAATTCTAATGTTGGTCTTTTGTTTACAGCTTTTTGAAGATGCTGATTTCATTTTCCAGCAGGATTTGGCACCTGCCCACACTGCCAAAAGCACCAAAATTTGGTTAAATGACCATGGTGTTGGTGTGCTTGACTGGCCAGCAAACTCACCAGACCTGAACCCCATAGAGAATCTATGGGGTATTGTCAAGAGGAAAATGAGAAACAAGAGACCAAAAAATGCAGATGAGCTGAATACCACCTCAGCAGTGCCACACTCTGATCACCTCCATGTCACGCCGAATTGAGGCAGTAATTAAAGCAAAAGGAGCCCCTACCAAGTATTGAGTACATGTACAGTAAATGAACATACTTTCCAGAAAACCAACAATTCACTAAAAATGTTTTTTTTATTGGTCTTATGAAGTATTCTAATTTGTTGAGATAGTGAATTGGTGGGTTTTCGTTAAATGTGAGCCAAAATCATCACAATTAAAAGAACCAAAAACTTAAACTACTTCAGTCTGTGTGCATTGAATTTATTTAATAGACGAGTTTCACAATTTGAGTTGAATTACTGAAATTAACTTTTTCACAACATTCTAATTTATTGAGATGCACCTGTATATAAATGACTGACAAAAATATTTCTAAGAATATTTAAAATAAAGATGCAATTTCTACAAGAACATTTTACATATGAAATGTTATGCAGAAATTTAAGACAACTTTAAGATTTTTTCAACATAAATATAAAATTGTGTAATATTTTCTAATAATTTACGTTCTAAAATTATGATCTTTGTACGGAGAGATCCCCATTATTTTCTGTTATTTAAATACATTTATTATAGGATAATGACTTAAAGGATCAGTTCACTTCCACCTACGTCCCGCGCGAGCTTTCCAACGAGACTACGTAATGCATGGAGTTGAGCTAGTGCAAGACGTAAATTTGTGGTTAAAAAGCATATAAAGTTTTATTTTTTTTTTAGAAAATGACCAATCTTTTCACTAGATAAGACCCTTATTCCTTGGCTGGGATCATGTAGAGCCCTTTGAAGCTGAACTGAAACTGCAATTTGGACCTTCAGTCCACTGGCCACCATTAAAGTCAATTATATGGAGAAAAATCCTGGAATGTTTTCCTCAAAAACCTTAATTTCTTTGCGACTGAAGACAGAAAAGACATGAACATCTTGGATGACTGATTTATATTATGAGCATAAATGCAGTCATGGACAGAATCTTGTAAAAAAAAAAATCATTCTGAAGAAAAAAAAAACATTGGGAATGCTTATATACTTGTTTTCAATAAAAAATACATTAATCTATTTGTGATTGAATTTTTGCATCAAAGAAATTTAAACCAATTGCCTAAATGTATATATAAATATTCAAATTAATGGGCTAGACAACAAAAGATAGGTCCAAATGAACTTTTACACTGCTACATTTTACATTACTACAAAATACAAATAGTTTATGAAACTACAGATTCAGTAATCAGTGCAATGCAAACGCAGCGGCTGTTGTTGTAGAGACGTTTTGATGTGAATAATCAAGCCTCTGATCAGTAAAAACCCTCTGCCTGACCTGAATCATATTGCTCTGTCTCTATCACTTTAATAAACAGGTTCTTGGCAGACAAAGGGAAATGGGTTGGTAAAAATACCTGTGGCTCTCTCGCAGGGCTTCTTTGCCCTTCCTCCAGGAGATCATCCCGCGCGGGGACATGCGGGGCCTGCACTCAATCAAAACATCTCCACCATGCCGAGCCAGTGTCTGTGCCTTCAGCACACTATAGGAGAAATCTGGTGCCACTGCTGATGTGAAGAGAAAAACAAGCATCTTACAAAACTGGCAGAAAGATAGACCAACTCACTCCTAAAAGTACCTGAGAAGTCCTTAAAACGCAAAAAAAGTCACTGCTTTAGATAGCAACATATCAAAAAGTGTCAATTGTTTTGAAGAAAACATTGAGGACATTTTTCAAACAAAACATTTCATATTCTTTACACAACAGGCATATAATACAAAATGTGGAATAAATACAAATGTAAATATAAGTAATAAAATATGAATAAAAGATTTCAGCTAATAATTTAATAAGATTTACTTATCAAACATTCTGTTCTTCTAACATCAGAACAGTTGCATCACACTTTCACAGCTTTCATGCCTCAAATAATATAAAATTTTAATTCAGAAAAGTAAAACATGTTCTTCTTAGAAGAGGTTTATTCAAGTAACTGATGTATGAATTGCATTTTTAATATACAATACCATTCAAAAATTTGGGGTTGATTAGTTTAATTAATTAATGTTTTAGAAAAAAATATCTTATGCTCACCAAGGCTGCATGTATTTGGTCAAAAATGTAATTACAAAATTAATATTGTGAGATATTTTTTTACAATTTAAAACAACTGTTTTCTATTTGAATATATTTTAAAATGTAATTTATTCCTATGATGCAAAGCTGAATTACTCCAGTCTTTAGAGTCACATGAGCCTTCAGAAATCATTCTAATATGATGATTTGAAACGTTTCTTATTATTAGCAATGCTGAAAATATTTTTTTTTGGAAACCATGATAAGATCTACTTCCAGGATTCTATTATTCATAGAAAGTTGAAACAGAATTGTTTTGTAACAATGTATGTCTTTACTGTCACTTTTGAGTGATTTGAAAAAAAAAAAAGAAAAGAAAAAACTGACCCCAAAATTCTAAAAAGTTACTGTATAAAAAATTCTAGTATTATCATATGAAATAAAATAAAATAAATTAATGGATAAGACAAAACAATCAGTGCCAAGTCACAGATCCATTTTCTTCCACACAACCTGTCAACCTGCTACATATCTATCTGGTTCCCTCTTTGCTAAATCTCGTTGTTGTATCACTTTCCAGAGGCATGCAAGGAGGATGTTTTTAATGCGATATCCTCACTTAAGAGCACACTCAAGAGCTCATGCTATCCCCCGCAAACCACTAAGTCAAACCGAGTCAAGCCAGCCAGCACAAATCTAAAGGCTCTAAAGTGCGAAGACTGTCTAACTCACATCTCCCCCAGGCAGCAATTTCAGCATACTAGACTTTCCTGCCTGTTTGGGATCCATCTGCACTCAGCGCTGACAGCATCAAAGCACCCATTGTGCTGACAAATGACAGGACTTGGGAACAGAGCACTTTTCTCATCTGCCGCATGATAAAATGGCCTCGAACGTCAACTCCTTTAATCTTCAGCGCCGAGACGGGTTTGATCATTGATCCAGTCAAAAGTTATTCTGCTCCTCATAATAGCGGGTCAACTGTTTTTAAATGCAGCGTAAAAGGGTGTAGTAAGACTAATGATTGGTAGTGTTTGCTGACAATGTGGATAGAATGAGTTTATAAGGAAAACAAAAGCCAAGTACTGCTAAACAGCACTGCTGCACCAAAACACAACAAACTTCATATCATATATAGATAAATTTGTAAACATAAACTGCATCTGGCTATATCTTTAGTAACTATGAATTTAGTGATTCCTTACCAATGACTCTGAGTTCAGCGTTCGCAAACACTCGGCCATGACGGTTCTCGGCGATACACTGGTACATCCCAGTATCTGACAGGGTCAGCCTGCTGATGGACAATCCCCCGTTTACCACCTGGATTCTGTCCTGGAAACATCACAACAATCCCACACTTCAATTTAAAACAATTAAATTGACTTGAGTTACATATTGAAAATTAACTCCAGTATTATTTTACATGTTAGACACATTCGACATAGAAAACACAGTCTGAGAAATCCATGTAATGTTTTCCTCTTTTCTGTCCTTGCATAAAGGCTACACATTTAAACTGAATTTAAAACATTCTGAATAAGGTATAAAATAGGAATTTTTTCTGGTCTTTTTTTTAACTAAATGACAATGAAAAAAGAAGGGCTGCACTTTTAATAGTCAATTAAACTCTAGCCGATGAGAAGAGGCTTAGCCTTAGCTTAGTTAACAAAGAAAACAAACAGAGTGCACTTTCTGCCGTCTCGCTGATGGACAATCCCCCGTTTACCACCTGGATTCTGTCCTGGAAACATCACAACAATCCCACACTTCAATTTAAAACAATTAAATTGACTTGAGTTACATATTGAAAATTAACTCCAGTATTATTTTACATGTTAGACACATTCGACATAGAAAACACAGTCTGAGAAATCCATGTAATGTTTTCCTCTTTTCTGTCCTTGCATAAAGGCTACACATTTAAACTGAATTTAAAACATTCTGAATAAGGTATAAAATAGGAATTTTTTCTGGTCTTTTTTTTAACAAAATGACAATGAAAAAAGAAGGGCTGCACTTTTAATAGTCAATTAAACTCTAGCCGATGAGAAGAGGCTTAGCCTTAGCTTAGTTAACAAAGAAAACAAACAGAGTGCACTTTCTGCCGTCTCAGTCTCCGTGAACTAGAGTGCGTCACAAAAAGGAACGAAACTTAGTTTACAGACTTCTTGTCTCACAGATATGACAAATATATCTATAGAAAGGTTAAAATGTGTACTTTTAAATTAACCAATTAGAATCGAAAACAAATACTCTCTGATTATGTAATCTGTATGAAAGCATTGCTCTAAATGCCATGCAGAGATGGAGAGTCAGTATCTTTGCAGCCAACACTGACTAAATTATTAAAATATCTCCTTGATATTTTTTCCTGACACATTCATAGTTACTTTTGCTTTATGTGTGTGCTTGAGCACTGGTTTATACTAATTATCACATGTTATCATAATTTTGAACAGTGGACACACATTTCATGTGTTAAAACTACATAGAATTTACATGTAGTTAGTGGCAAATACAGAAATCTCTAAAACTGTTTTTCAAGATTGTTTCAAAAATTTATTTCAAATGAACAATAAAATCAAACAACAATGGTATCTTAAGATTTGCTTTGTTACCTTAAATTCCACAAAATAAAAAATAAAACAATAACAACAACAAAACTATAATGTATTGCATGGATTTCTGGCAACAGTGATAACTCAAACAAATCAAATGTAAATGAACCATCCATACAAACTGATTTACTAGAAAGAATCATACTTCTCAATGCTACGTGTTAGATAATATTTTATTTTAGCTAAAACTATCACAACAACAGAACATAGGATTTGTGAAAGGAATGGGACACCACTAAAGTATAAGCCTACCATATTCACGGAAAGCGCCTGCTATAAAATAATAAAATTACAGATGTGAAGGGACCAGAACGGAGGATGAGTCTAATCCCATAGTAGCAGTGGATTGCTGCTGATGGGCGGTCTATAATTTTTTTATCCTGGCCAAACACTTACTCATAAAGCCCCTGTTATGCTGCCATTGCACTCACTTGAGTGTGAAAAATTTGAATGGTGCATTCAGGTTGAATTAACTGAGATTTAAAGGGCTCAGATATCTGCACTCGCTCTCTGCATGCAGGATCTTCAGAGTCTGGTGGCATTAGCTTTATGCCACTTGAATTTCATTGTTCCAATGCAGCTGGGAAATGGTGTAACTCTCTGGCCACATGATCTGCCCTGACATGGAGCATCACAATCTAACTGATATCATAAACAGACCTCTTCATATGTGTGCCGTGTTGACTGGGGTAAACTAGAGAAATCAGTACAGCCTCTAGCAGCAAAGACAAATAGTGGCAGAAATCAGCTTTATGGGGGTAATTAATTAGGGGTGACATTCCACTGAAATCAGCACTTTCCCCCTCGACGGGAGAGCACGTTTGAGTGGGCTGTGCTGCACCAGACTGATTAAGTTGCCCACCTGAATAGACATCGCAAAGATTGCCCCAACATTATGGGTATTGGCTTGACATGTGTGAAATTGTTGCTGAGGTAAACATTTACACAAGCAGATGAATATTTGGTGTAGTACCAGGAAGAAAATCAAAACAAAATGTAGGAGATCTGCAAACTTTTAAATAGATCATTTAAAAGTAAATAACATAAATATAGATTACACAACAGTTAGTTTTAGTGCACTCATGTGATTGAATAAGAATGACATTGATTATATTTGATTTATATATATATATATATATATATATACATATATATATATTTTTTTCTGTCATGTTGGTGTTCTATCTTTCACTTGGATGTTATAAGTTGCACTGAATAAATACAGCTGGATAAAACAAAAACTGTGTCCGTCTTCATTTCAGGCTGCAAAGCAACAAAATGTGATTATTTTAAAGGGGGTGATTCTTTTCTATACCCACTGTATAATATATTTCAAATGAACCATAAAATCTGACAATAGTGGGATCATACATTTTGATGTATGTACATTTTGATACAACAAAAACAAAACAAAAAAAAAATAGAACAAAACAACAAAACAGGGGCTGATCAAGATTAAACAAAAATCACAGTATCTTGTACACAAAAAAAAATGAAATAAAACTAAATTCAGCTAATTGAACGTAAAAACGGTCTTATTTATAATAAGAAAATGCTAAGTAAATTATTGAGCAATAACTCAACGCTATTGAAAAATAATTTAAACAAATCAATTGGACTTGAACCATCCGTACAAACCGATTTACTACAATGAATCAGACTTCTCAATGCTACTAGAGAAAGCGAGATGAAAATCTTGAAGGGCATATTTGATTACTGCTGCAACTCACTCATGTGGAATACAATGTGACATAATTCTTTCATGCTACACCACTGAGAAAAATAACGCATTACTGTATTTTGAAAAAGAGAAATACTGAAAACTAGAATTAAATTACTAGCTCTACTGCTTAGGGTTTCTCCCTAACAGTGATGATATATAGATCTTCTGTGATATGCTCTCAATACTGCATTCAGGTGATGGTGGATAGTATAAGGAAATGGCCTTTTCGGTTCATTGTAATCATCAAATAACAAACGACACTCTTCTTCTTGTCCTCTGACTACATGGATGACCTTTGGTCTGGAGATTGATCAAATGCTGAGGTAGCCGATGGTGACATTTACAAAATGGTAACACCTCAGCTCATTAAGAGTGCAGCCTCACAGGCTGAGATTGTGTTCACTATCTCTCAGAGTGATGAAACAAGCTCTGTTATGCAGGACACTAATACAGCACAGAACTGCTCTGAACCGTACAACAACTGAGACAAACCTAAACCAGAGCTCTGGAAATACACAACATAATCCTGAGAAAGGCAATAGAAAGTCACTTTTTATTTTTATTCACGTCTTGTTTTTAGAATAGTTGTACACATGTGATGTTGCCGTAATGTACCTCAACCAGTTTTTTATGAAAACAACCAAGTTGAAATAAATCTGCAATAAAGTAAAATATTACTATTAGTGAAAACATAAAATGTTGCATTGGCAACCATCTGAAACAAGTTTAACAACTAAGATTTTTAGAACGAAAATAAATAAACAAATAATAATGACAAAACACATTAAAAAACTTTTTTTGTTGTTGTTTTCTGTTTTGTTCTGTTTGTTTAAAAGCACATAACACTTCTCAAAGTAAAAATTAAAAGAAAGAGTTTTTATTTGTTTATTTATTTTTAGTATTTAACAGAAAAGATTATGCTTTTTTGAAAAGATATAATAATAGACATTAAGGTCTTTCAAAAGATATTCTTGTCTTTATTTACAGTAAACTAAATTAAATATTGAATTACTGTTCTCAGTTTTATCTAAAGTGAAAATTGTACTTTCATATTTTAATTTCGCTTTTGTTTACGGTGAAATTAAGTTGTAAAAAGTTTTAAGTTCTATATTGACCTATATTATGCAACATTTTGGCTTGTGCCTAAAGAAGATATACCGATTATGTTAAAAAAAAGACAAAACACAGATTGTCCGATTTACTCAATCATTTATGATCTAAACAATATTGTGTTTCTCTGCTAAACTTGATTTATTTGCTTTCGATTAAGTGAACCAATCAAGAACGCAAAAATTATTTTTGATGTTGAAATAATTGAAACTGTAATTCTCAGCATGCCTTGCATGAGACCTAATGGGGAGAAGAAAAATTCAGAAATGAAGCAAAATGATTTAAGAAATATGAGAAAAGATGGAGACTTAAAGGGTTAGTTCACCCAAAAATGAAAAACAGCCTGTGTTTTACTCACCCTCAAAGCATCCATATGTGTATGTGACTTTCTTCATTCAGACGAATCCAATCTGAGTTAAATAAAAAAATTGTCCTGGCCCCTCCAAGCCTTTTAAATGGGGGTAAGTGGGTGTTGTTTGTCAACAGTTAAGAAGACGTGAAATAAAGTGCGCGCAACCATAATAAAACATGCCTCACATGACTCCGGGGGGTGAATAAAGGCCTCCTGTGGCGAATCTATGCATTTTTGTACGATAAATATCTATATTTCAAACGTAATAAACACTTTTTTTCTCACTTCCGCTGACTATCATATGCGGAAGACATTCAGGCGGATGACGTAGGACTTAGGCGTCGTGTGTGCTGACTTGTGGTTGTACAGCGAAACTGAAGTAAAGTGCAAAGTTTCCTTACTTTAGCAAAGGAAAACCAGTCTCCTCTTGGCTTATATCGAAATCCTCTGACATTTTTCTTTACAAATCCTCGTTTTGTTTTGCTTTGTCTGCGCGTTCGTCACTGATCACGCAACGTCGACGTACTACGTCATCCACCGGAACATCTTCCGCATATGACAGTCAGCGGAAGTGAGAAAAAAAAGTGTTTATTACTTTAGAAATATGGATATTTATCTTACAAAAATGCATGGATTCGCTACAGGAGGCCTTTATTCATGCCCCAGAGCCATGTGAAGGACGTTTTATTATGGATGCGCGCACTTTCTTTCACGTCTTCTGAACTGTTGACAACCAACACCCTACCCCCATTGAAAGGCTTGGAGGGGCCAGGACAAATTTTTATATAACTCAGATTGGATTCGTCTGAAAGAAGAAAGTAAAAAAAAACCTAGGATTCTTTGAGGGTGAGTAAAACACAGGCTAATTTTCATTTTTGGGTGAACTAACCCTTTAATAATGTTCAATTAAACTATATTCAATTCTGTTGGGTTTTCCTTCTAAACTTCCCGAATCTGCTAACTTGCTTTTCAGGTGCACTAAAGATAAAGCAAACCGCATCACCCACCTCAAAGGACTCAAGCAGCTCGCCGTTCTTCAGCCACCTATAGGAAGGTTTGGGCTTAGCGCTCGCCTTACACTCCCACAGCAGAGATTCATCAATGGCTTTCTGCACATCCTGAGGCTTCTCCACCAGATGAGGGGGCGCTGAGATCCATCAATAAACACAAAACACACAGTGAGAAATTAAATATCAAGAGCTGCTGATAAAAATGAATTTTCAACAGCTCCCAGAATCCCAGACACACTTAGAGTTGCTTACTGATTAGCCCCTGTTAGGAATCAGTAAACCAACCAAGCAGTTTATGAGCCAATTAATCAACAAATCCAGTTATTAATCAATCAACATGGCATTAGAATGAGGAAAAAAAAAGCACAATTCTGTATGAATAAGTTACAAAGACATTTAGTAAACCACATTCACACTGAGCACATGGCTCATAATGTGGGTCAAATTTTATGGATCTTTAGCCTGTATTTGGTATATTGCTTTAATTTTAATATTGCTTTGAGGAACATCGCACACCCTTCCCAAACATGCAGAAATTACACCAGAAAAAAAGGTGCTAGAAAAAGTGCAAATGTTAAAGTTTTAACCTTGATTACATATTTATACTCAAAGCTAAGATGATTAAAAAAAATGGCTTGAAAACATATTATAATGAGATTGATTCTCATGGCTTTGCTGAAGGTCAATGTGACTTGCATAGGCTTAACTTTACTTATAAGATGAGAGAGAAAGGAGAATAATCACGGCGTAGTGCAAACGTGAACAAAGTAGCATGCTTTATAGGTATCAGTCACACTGCTGAAGCTCACAGTTTTGACTTCGGCCATTATGTTATAAACAACAGTGACCCATATTGATTATTCCATTGCTCCAACATCAGTGATAGATGGACAATACAGTCTATGGGAGATTATAGATTTTTACCTGCCAAATAATTGCAATGACAAATAATTACAACATATGGGGATACTCATGAAAATCTGACATACTGGTTATAAAACATAATGGGGATATAAATTAAACATACAGCATTGATCAGTGATAAACTCAAATATATAAGCATTCATAAAAGCTTAATGGTGCATGAATATTGATTGTGTATTTGTCTGATTACGGAAAGTGTGTAGAATCTTTTTTAAATGTCCAATCTGCTCTTTTCCATACAATAAAAGTGTTCATTATTCTATACCATTGTATATACTGTATATATATTAGTGCTGTCAAATGATTATTCGCGATTAATCGCTTCCAAAATAAAAGTTTTTGTTTATATAATATATGTGTGTACTGTGTATATTATTATGTATATATAAATACATATATTATATATAAATATATTTAATATATAAATGTAACATTTTTCTTAAATATAAACATGCATGTGTGTGTATTTATATATACATAAAAAATATACACAGTACACACATATATTATGTAAACAAAAACTTTTATTTTGGATGCGATTAATCGAGAATAATTATTTGACAGCACTAATATAACATAAAAAAACCTCAAGTGAACATTAAAATAGTGAAATAAAATAAAATATAATTTTTTTTTGATTTATTTAATTTCAGCTAGTTTCCAAGGCAACATTTTTTATTTTTGTTTAGTTTTATTTGTGGTATTTTAGTAGTAGTGCTAAAATAACTCAAATGTATGGAAGCCTGCCACAGAATTTAAAAACAAAATAATTAATAAATAAAATAAAAAAAGTTAGTTGCAACTTTGTATATCACAATATATATAAATATATATATATATATATATATATATAT